CCCCAAAACCCCAAAACCCCAAAACCCCAAAACCCCTCCACTTAAGTTTCTTATTGAACTTTTTATAATAATTTATGGACAACGACCAGTATCAAGTTGAGATTCGCAAGAAGAAGTTTCATAAGTCCTATATTAACTTATTAACCAAGCTACCTTTGATCTATGGGCAGTACTATGAGTTTAAGAGATGAGGAATCGCCAGGAAGAACCTCCCAATAACAGGAAATCTGGGATGGGCCTATTTCACCCATGAATTTTTCCCACTAGAAAGGTACAAAATTCTTACTGATCCTTTAAGAATAGATGATTATGTCAGAGCTGTCATTCAGAATTGTTTAGGAGATATGGATACAAAATGAAACCTTGAGAAGTTGCACTCCCTAAAGAATGACAGGAACGTATCTAAGTTAAGGCAGCAATTTGCTATAGAGTATACTCGAAAATATATTCCTTCCTTAGGGAGACTAGGCCAAGCTAATTCATATTTGCACATGTCTGATTTTAGCCCTGAAAGGGATCAAGCTGAAGACCCTACTTCTGAACGCTGAGAGATAGACAAACTGATTATTACACTGACAGAGCAATATAAGTTTATAAGATCCCAGAATTCTAGTAAGATTTCAAACTTGAAAGAGAGGTTTAGTAAAATCTACAGTAATATAACACAAGATAGTTCTATTGTCTTTTTAGACCAGATGGAGAATTATGAACAAATCAAGCTGATGAATCCTTACCAATCTCACCTATGATTTCCCTACTCAAAGGATGAAAGTGGCCTAGTATGGATGTGGAACATGCTTTCAAAGCATAAGAGAAAGAAGAGAGCTATTGAGCTAAACAAGGATTCCAGTGGAAAAGCTTTCAAGCTCAAACTTTCATATAAGGATTTGCTCAAGCTTCCTCCAGACTTTGCTCACCTGGATGATTCCTGATTAATCTGAAATTCTTCAGACACCAGTCAAGAGAATAGCTTAATTCTATGAGACCAGTGAAATTGCATGGCTCATTTAAGATGATACGGACTTAGGGAGGTTCCCAAAGGCAAATGGTTTTGATACAAATGCAGAATTCTCAAGAAAGCTCATTGTAACTTGATGAAATGATCATTATGAGACCAATCTGGAGGAATTTTAAAGCCTTTTGCTTGCTCAACCAAATTACGGATAAATGAACATGTTACAAAAGGGAGGTCAGGAAATTCTGAATACAGAGATTATAACGTACAACAGCTGATAGAGCTTGAAAAGAAATACTATCTGAATAAGTCAAAGGATAACATCCCAATTTTTCAGAAGCTCACTACTTTCTTTCACTGGGCTCATATAAGTTGTCACTGGTGGAATTCCAATGTGTTCAAGTTTGTTGAAGAGGATCCTCTTCCAATCAGGGCTCTTTCAAGACTCAATCTCAACCACGAGTGAACTTTCTGCAATAAGAAAGATGGGACCACTTTGAAATGTAATGATTGAGATACCAGGTTCCATTACGAATGAGGTAGGAAACGGAACTGAAGGATTGCTTACATAATCAAAAGTAAAGAAAAGCAAGTCTCTGTTGAGTGAGAACTCCATTCACCAAATCTCCCACTGCAAGAGCTCAGGAAGTTTCAAGAAGACCGTACTTTTGAAGTAGCCGTTCTCTGAGATGCTCTCAGAGAGTATACCAAAACGATAGATTACTTTAAAGAAAAAGAGAAGAAATGGAAAGTGAGCAATCAGAGACAACTGACTCGCAACTTCTTCAAAATTTTTGAAGAGAAATACAACTTTGAGATAGACATCGTACAACTTATCAATGATAGATATGGATTCTGCTCTGCCTTCTCGAATACTTTGAAGCAGATAATCGCGGATCGATTTTGACATATTAGTAAATTCAAGATCGCAAATTTCTCTCCTGAATTTTGTAAGTACAAATTTCTGAAAGAAATCTGAACCCCCAAAAAGTTTGGAGATTTTATAATCAACTATTATAAGAGGAAGAATAAAGGAAATGCTGTAAAAGCAGATTCTGGTCGTACGACTGTTCCAAAGATAGGTTTAAATCCTTACCCATATAATGAGAATATTTTAAGAAAAAGTATGAAATATAACTCCGTTACTTATGAAGTGCCTAGGAAGTTGCAACCTCCACCTGCTTTCAGAAGTGTGAGAAAGCCATCAGACACATCTCAAATTTTTCACATCTTAAAGACGCCTAAAAGGAAAAGAAGGAGTGGTGGGCGTATTGTCAGTGATAGTTTCCTCAAAACAGAGAAGTTGCAGAAAGATCCTCTTATGCCTACTGATAATCCTATTGGCACTCTAAAGTTCCAGAATAGTGAACAAATGAATGATAATCAAATTTTTCCTCAGAGAGAAGAGATCTCAACTGCAGTTTCTAATAAAAATACTGATTTTGACTTAATCCTTGGCCTGAAAATTCCCAGAATTACTGAAAAGGACTCCCTTAGAGAAGATAAAAGTGAAAGTGATATTGAAATATCAGATATTGACCAGGATAACTGTGACATGTTTAAGCAGAGGTTCGAACCAAGATGCTACTGCAAAATGAAGAAAGGAAGATTAAGGTACAAGGTCAAGTGAATTGGAAGAGACTGAATTAATAGCAATCAATTCCATGAGAAATGAGTCATTGAAAAGGCTAAACAAAGAGGATTTATACTTCAAAAAATTGAGAAGGAAGGCTTCTTGTGTGACGATTGATTAATTATGCAAAATAATGGCCTATTCGCATCAAGAAATGCTCCTTCTACAATGCATAATAGACTAATGTTAAACCCTGAAAGTCCTTATACAAGAATGCACGATTTAAATACCAACCAATGTCTAGAGAGCCCAAAGGATCTTCAAATAGAGAAGGAGAACAATATTTCCAATAACATAGCCGATAGTGAGAACAAATATTCAAACTCTGAATGCATCAATGAGAAAATCTCAGAGGCATCATATCATGAAAGAGGAGATCACAGTCACTTGAAAGCTCCAGTCTGTCAGTAAGGCACTTCATAGCGCATCGCTTCAAGGCTGCTAAAGACTTTATCTAAAAACCTGGTTAATTTACTATAAAATTATTCAAAAATGTTTGTAATTTTCAATTTGTGCGCATTTAATTGGGGTTTTGGGGTTTTGGGGTTTTGGGG